TCAGGTAGCAGCAACGGGGTTGTCCTGCACAGAAGTCTGAAAAAAAAAATACCAGAATTCGGGGAAGCCAGTTTGTTTTCAAACATGGGCTGGGTAGAGACAAATTGAGGCTGTTTGAAGCGATATAAAATGTTGGATATTTTCACAGGAGACAAAGCAATTTGTATCTGTCTCTGTCTCTCTAAGTAACTTGTCTAGGTTCTAACATTTGTGTTGGCGTGATAGCTAGGCTTGGTGAGTGTGAAGACGCATGAAATACTTTCCTGCTTCCACTAAATATGACATTCTTAATGTGATAAGGGTTGCCCATTTTTGCAGGACATGAATCAGTGTTTATTGGCGGTTTGTGTATATTTATAAAAAGTCAAAGCCTGGTTGGTGAGAGCCGGGGATCCATGGTGCCGAGGTAGGAGGGACCAAGTGCTGGTAATATAGGTGAGGAATGAATTAACACAGGTTATGCTACACATTTTGGGGGCCAGCTCTGACAGGTGGGATGTGTCACCATTGTGCTAACACACGCAAGATACAGGAAAGATGATGTGAAAAGGAAAAGTTGCAGGGATGGTCTGGCTGTAGTGTATTAGCATGAGTAACGTGTGTTATAATGGGGTAATGAGTACGTCAGCATTTAAATATGTATGTCAACAGTGAATCTGAATGTTGGCCTTAAATAGTATGCCAGTATGGATAATGGGTAACATCTTGATAATGTGTATGTAAAACATGCGTAATATTATGCTGTACCAGTTCTTTCTCTTTTTATATTTTTGTATTTATATGAAGTACTAAATCAGTGTGAGTCGTTAAGGGCCCAAGGAAATGGAGGCTCGATCCTCCGTTCAGTAACAGCGAATAAGAAATAATTTTCACAGTCAGGCATTTCCCTGTTGTTTCTCGGTGTTACTATATAGTAGTTTAGTTTTGAAAAAAATAAGGTTAGATAAATTGTGAGAACCTTCATCAGGTTACTAACCGAGAAATTTTTACGTTTATATGTGCATAAAAGTTACATAAACAAATGTAGACTTGCGCCTATATAAGAACATAGAAGGAACCCCTGCAGCAAGCCTTCTGGCCCATGAAAGGGCAGGTCCAAGTCACCTACCGGCTTAAGCCAATGACCCAACCTGGTCAGGTCAGGTGTGCAGAACTGATTACATCAGTACACTTTCCTGCATGAAACAAACATTTTAGTAATCGGTACTTAACAGCACAATGTCAGCACCCTTTCCCGGAATCCCTTTGGGTGCCGTCCCGAGTCCATATTGGATGTGGATTAGCAAGTTTATTATACAATTTGCCCCAAAGAAGCGTATATCTCAGCATCATCTGAAATGCCTATAATACTTGGTTTGGTGAAATCACCCCATATCAGGGGGATCATTGGTAATTCCAGTTAAACCTCGCCCGTTGTAAAGAATGGAAATACAATACCAAACAAGAAGAAATTAAGATCATGTGCAACATCTGGTATTTTTATTGTAGACGTTTCGCCATCCAGTGGCTTTATCAATACGAATTCTACGACATAAATTGGAGACAGTAGAACTATATACAAAGATGAGGCAATCAGTTTCCTCACCCTTTGGGAGTTTGGTGTGAAGAGCACCGTAGTCGTGGAGGTTCTGGAGCATAGCAAGGAGGCTGGCACCTTATATACTAACGCCAGGTGGAAAGGGACGTGCGTCAGAATTTTGCTATTTATTTTCCCTGCATAAAAACTGAGAGGAAAAAGAGTAAAAAATTTCACCCATTTCTTATCACTCTCAGTGATCTGCCTGAGTTACTTTTGAGTGGGCCAGTCATGTCCCTTATCTTAAATTCTGTATACCTGAAAGGAAATTCCTGGGTTAGTCGTCGAAACAGTTGTGACTTTAGCCTCATTTAAACCCCCTTTTTTATTCTCTCTTTAATTGAAAATATTGTTTCCTTAGCTGCCCATCCCTCTTTTGATATGCCTATATATGCTTCTCTTTGACCATTGAGATGTTTTAACCTATTGTTTATCCACTGGGGATCATTTTTGGTTGATCTGATTTCTCTACTTGGAGCATAAGTTTTCTGGGCAGCTAGAACTATGCACTGAAAAACGGAAAATTGGTGACCATCATCACCTAACTGACCATAGTCAGGTCATTCCAATTCAGCTCACCCAGGTAATTTCTCAGTCCCATTTAAATCAGCGAAGTGGAAGTCTGGGACAAAAACTTGGATTGCAGCTATTTGGGTAATTCCATGATATATCGAAACTAAGTGATTTGTGAACACTTTCCCCAAGCTTATCCTTAATTAACCTCAAGATTATTAATTATGAATCTTTGTTAGCAAGAACCAAGTCAAGCAGATTGTTTTTCCCCTAGTTGGCTCTGCCAAAAAGCTGTTTTAAAAAGCAATCCTGAATCGTATCAAGAAAAATTTAAAAGATCAAGATTTCCTGTCACATTGTTCCAGTCAATTTGTCTAAAGTTAAAATCTCCCATTAACACGACATTTTCATATCTAGACATCTTATGAATTTCGTTCCCATCGCAGCCATCAAGATTTGAGAAAATGTAGCCAAACAGATTCCCGTGACCAATGCTTCTAATCTTACATCTTGTCTGGCACAATTTAAATTTTTCTCTGAAAAACATTGCGGTTGCCCCCAACCTTCCTGTTGACTCGTTTAGTGTAGAATAGTTTATAGCCCTTTTATTTGGCATTCAGAAGACAATTTTTCTGTCTTTCAGGTTGAAACCCGGTCTCTATTAAAAGCATTAATATCAACATTACCTGCATAAGCAGTAATCTTAGCTCAACTATTTTTATTTTGTAGACTTACTATTATATTTATAAGTAAACTTCAAGGGAGCGTGTTATGCAGTGACATGCAGAAAAAAAATTTTATTTAACATATTCGGGATTAAACTGAAAGCGAAACGCATTTTGTTCCTGTCAGTCAGGCAGTGGCCAGAACAGGAGCAGATGAGAGGTGTGTTTAGTTCAGTACGAGACAAGTGGTGATGGGAGTCAAGTCATCATGTTTGGGTGGTAGTATGAGTAGGTAATTTTGGTAAGTTTTTTAGTGTATTTATTTTTGTTTTTTTTCGGGGGGGTGTCATGGATTTCCCTGTTTTAAATGTTCATTATTTTGTTTAACTCTAATTAGTAGCAGTGTGGTAGTGAGCTAATGTGTACTGGAGTGTGGTGGTTTTTTTTTGGATTTAGTTGTAAGTTGTATGTAAGTTATTATTATGTTAATATATTATGTATAGGCGAGTTTTTGTGTCCTTCCTTATACAACGTTAATTATTTGAATCATGCTTAATTTGTATGAGTACATGCTGGCCCAAGGTTTGCTGATGTTTTCAGAGTAATTTTGTAACCCCTAGACAGCAGTGTAAGCAGCCTATAGGAGCCAGGAACATTTTAAGTAACGACATCAAAGTCGTAACAGACTAGTCACTCGCTGTCCTCTACTGTCTCTCTTTGTTGTCAATTGCTTTGCCTTTACTAGCAACTTTATTTTGAATAATGTCTATTAAAATATTCCTGAGGAATCCTGGTAATATCTTCTGTTTTCAACCCTTGTGCTGCCGCATGATTCTCACACACTTCAAAACCTCTATAATCAATCAGTGTAAAGTCCTAGCAAGTTAGGGAGTGGGTTTCCCCTCAATCGAGATGGCTAATGCAGCCACTCCAAACCCCCGAGAGATGAACCCCATTCATTGCATACATATCACGTTTGCCATAAAATTTGTCCCAGTTATCAATGAATGGGACCTGCAAGTTCCTTTCAGTTACCTGTCTAGCTAGCAAATTTTCACCAGTTGCCCTAGATATTCATTTTATTGCCCACTCCCCTTCTAGGCAAGATGCTACATATGATTCACAAACCCCCTTTCCCTTAAATCTAATTACACCTATAAATAACAAAGGCACAAAACCGTGACTGGAACGATACACAAATAACCCGCACATAAAAGAGAGAAGCTTACGACGACGTTTCGGTCCGACTTGGACCATTGACAGTCACACTGTGACTTTGTCAATGGTCGGTCGGACCGAAACGTCGTCGTAAGCTTCTCTCTTATGTGCGGGTTATTTGTGTATAATTACACTTATGGCTGACTTATATGATCAAGCAGCTACTGTGTCTTGCCCTTCCCAATATCATTTCCACCAGCACTAAGACAGATAATGGGCTTGTTCCCATTACCTGACATATTATCCAACCTGTTGACTATGTCATCAACACCAGCACTGGGAAGCACACACTCTGTTTCAACTTCCTAACTCTGTTACAGAAAGCACCATCCATATACCTTACCTGAGAATCAACCCACTACCAGAATGTTCTTACCTTGATTAGCAGGGGAGTTAGTGGTACCTTTAATCTCACTAACCACTGAAGTACACTCATCCTGGAGAAAAGAGAAGTCTGTAAACAGTTATTTGGGGCAAAGCTGGTGCTTATTTCCAACACTAAAATTAAATTAAGAGTTTTGGTTAGAAAGTATTTACTATTTTGAGCGGCGGTGGCAATGCACTTGCCAGACACCTGTACGGATCAGGAGCTTGGACCTGGGTACTTCATCCCTCGTCATAGGGTTACATTAACAAGTCTGTAATTTAAGTGTGTGTTATTGGTACTTGATATATTAATAATGATCCTTTCTCTACTGTGTAACACATTGCTATAGTCTCTCAGTATGGAAAAGATGCAGCCTTTATTATTTATTAATTTTTTTTTCTGGACCTGTTGATAAGCACATTTCATATGGTAGTTATTTTATTAACAGACATACACTAATTACTTCCATAATAATGAAATACACATATTCCTCTCTCACTAATTGCATAAAATAATCCTAACATATTTTTTTGTGAAATTTCCACAGAATCTGTTGAGACAATTGGTAAAAATACCTTTGGTAGATATATTTAGAAAACTCTATATTTTTTTTTTCAAAACCGTCATTAAATATAAGATTTTGCATTTATTTGTTTTCCAGGTGGATCGTCAAGTTCAGTTTTGCAAGAAGTGGACATAACAATATTTCCATCTACAAAATGTGTAGAGAGTTATTCGACGCTACAGGAATACTCTACTGTCTGGCCTCGTAGTATAAAGGAAGAGACAATTTGTGCCGGAGATCCAAAAGGAGGAAAAGATGCTTGTCAGGTAAAGCTTTATCTTATATTACTAGTGTGTTGTGTGTGTGTACTTGCCTACTTGTACTCGCCTGTTTATGGTTACAGGGGTCAATTCACAGCTCCTGGCCTAGCCTCTTCGCTGTCACCTTCTCCCTGCTCCAAAAGCTGTATCATGCCTCTTAAAGCTATATATGGATCCTGCCTCCACTACATCAATCTCCAGATTATTCCACTTCTTGCTAACTTTGAGTGAAGAAATACCTCCTAACATTCCTGTGACTCATCAGAGTTTTCAACTTCCAGATGTGACTGCTTGCTGCTGTGTCCCATCTCTGAAACATTCTGTCGCTATCAACCTTCTCAATTCATATCAGTATTTTATATGTTGCTATCATGTCACCCCTATCCATCTTGTCCTCAGGTGTCGTCTGTCAGATTTCTCTTAACCTCTCCTCATAGGACATATGTCGTTAGCTCCAGGATTAGTCTTGTTGCAATCATTTGCACTTTCTCTAATTTGTTGATATGCTTGATCAGGTGTTGGGTCCCATACTGGTGTTGCATACTCCAATTTGGGTCAAATGTACACTTGTATAGTATCTTGAATGACTTTACTTAGGTATCGAGACGCTTTCCTTAGGTTTGCCAGGCTCCCATATACTGCAGCAGTTATTTGGTTGATGTGCCCTTTAGGAGATACGCTCGGTATAACACACACTAAGATCCTTTTTTTTGCCCTTTAGGAGATAGGGCTCGGTTTTTAACACCACTAACCCCCTTTTCCTTGAGTGATTTTTTGAAAGCCTTTGACCCCATAGCAGTACTCCGTCTGCAGTTTTTTTTTAAACCTTCAAAAGCCCTTCATGCTTGGGAAGTTGGGGGGGTTTAAACTACAGAGCCTTTTTGTCGGTCAGGTTTTTTGCAGCCTGCCCATTTGGGAATTCTCCGCTTACCTTCATTTCGTCTTCAAATAGGACCCCTTTTTAACATGTCCCATCCGTATTTTCATTCCCCAAGTCCGGGCCCTTTGGATGCCCCTTCGGGAACCCTGTCATCACTTTGCGCCCTCGAACACCCTCGTGACGTACCATCACTCGTTTTTTTCCTTTCCCCTCTGGGGTTCCCTGATCCATCATAGTGATTTTTCTCTTATTCCTGCCTACTTCTCTAGTTTTTTCATAAATCTCTTGAGCAAATACTGTGTTAAAATCTTCAAACAATCCAAAAAAAAGGGCAGTCCGTGTTACCCCCTTTTTTTCTGTAAATTGGGGTTTCAAACTCACTGAAAACCATGCTGGTTATTGGGAAAAAGCTTTTAAATTTTTGTAGGTGTCCACCACTTTTTCTGATAATTTTCCCCCATGACTATACATGCTAAATTTTATCTCTGCCCACAAATCTGTAGTTTAATGGCCTGTATTTTCCCCTTTTTCTTAAAAACTGGGACTTTTTTTACTGACATCCCCCTCGGGATTGGGCCCTGTTACGATAGAGGTGTTGCAAAATTGTTGTTAGTGGCCCCACACAGTGTCTCGCTCCCCTCACCCATGGGCCCAGGGTTTGCTTTTGTCTTTGAGGAAACAATTACTTTAATCTGTTTACCCCCTCCTTAGTTATTTGTAGGTGCTAGCATTTGTTGGTGAAACCCTACCACCCCTTTTTCCCGGGAACCCCTTTTCGTTTCACTTAAAAAAACCTACAAAATCTCTTTGTTTGGGCACTCGGGAATTACTTCCGGGTTTTTTTTCTTGTGATCCTCCTGCGCCGATTCCCCTTTTCCCCCATAGGGGGGGGGGGGTTTCCCCCCTTTTGGGAAGGGGGGCCGGGTTATAAAAAGCTTTGGGGGGCCAGATTTGGTTTTTAAAAGGGGCTATGTTTTTTCCCTCGTATTTGCTCTGGGGCCCCCTTTTTCTCATTTTTTTTAACCCAAAAATTTTTCCCAATTTCTTGCTTTTCGTTTCGTTTTTTTTTTTTAAAAAATTTTCCTTTGCTTTCCTTTTTAAAAATCCCTTTTTTTTGTTTTTCCATCCCTTTTCGACACATACCCTTTGGCATCTTTTAACATCTCTGGGTGACCCAAGGGTCGTTCCCTGGTTTTCCCCGTTTTTTCTGTTGCTCTTGTTACGGCTTCCCCCTCTGCCTCATTTCTTTTTATGTTCATTGAAACCTTTTTAATTTCCCTGTCTTTCCTTCAGTTTTTTTTTCCCCCCAGTGCCCTCGTGCAGGTTTTTTTCCTCATCCCTGGGTACTTTTTTTTTTAGTTTAAAAATTTCCCCCGTCCTTCTCGTGTTGCTTCTTTTCCCACGGGTTAACTTTTACAGGGGTATTCAGAACCCCGGACCATATGGTCACTAGGTCTCATATTTTGATAAACCTCAGTTTTCTGCACTACTAAAGGGGGAAACTAGCCCACCCTTGTTGTTTCATTCTCCCCTGTGTGGGGTGTGTGTGGTTGTGTGTGTGGGTGTGTTGTAATTTGCTTGGGGATTTTATTAAGTACTCATAAATTTTTGGGGGTTTGAAAGGGTCGAGTTTTTAACCCCTTTTGGCTGAGTCACAAACGAAATTTTACCAAATTTTTGGGTTACATGGGTCGATCAAAAGCTCCGGTCCCCCCTTTTCACTGGTCGTTACTGGGCCCCCTCTCTCTCCCTGCTCTTTGAGCTTAAATTACCTTTTTTTAAAAAAGCAAATGAATGGATCCTCCCTCCACTACATCACTTTTACAATTATTCCATTTTCCTGACAACCTTTTCCCGAAGAAGTACTTCCTAACATCCCGGACTCATCTAAGTTTTTCAATTTCCCAATTGTGACCCCCTTGTTCGAGGGGCCCCCTCTTGGAATTCGTTTTCTGGGCCACCCTGTCGATTTTCCCCTCAGTATTTTATATGTCGTTATCATATCCCCTTTCCCTGTCCTCCAGTGTTTTTCAAGGGCGTTTTTCCCCTTAACCTTTTCCCCGTAGAACATGGGCCCCTTTTGCTCCGGGGGGCAAGTCCCCCTTGAAAACATTTTTCATTTCCCTAATTTTTTGATGTGTATGGCCAGGTGTGGGGTTCCAAATTTTTTGGGAAAGTACTCCAGTAAGGGGCTGACTTAAATGGTGTACAGATTTCCCGAGCGGGTCCTTGCTGAGATGTCGGAATGCTATTCTTAAAGGGTTTTTAGGGGGCCCAAATGCTGCAGCAGGGTTTTTTTTTGGGTTTATGTTTCACTTTAGGGGAAATTTTCTCGGTATTTAAACACCCCCAAGATTTCCCTTTTTCCCCGAGTTTAGGTTTGTAGGGCTTTGGCCCCTAGACTTACCCCGTGTGTGGTCATCTTTTTTCCCCTTTCCCCCAAAAAACATTATGTTCCCCTTTTGGGGGTGCTGAACCCCCGGACCAGTTTTTTGGAAACCCTGCCAGCGCCGCCCATTCCCACGCTTCAAAAAGTCTGCAAAAAAAGGAACAAAACCCTGAATCCATCCTAGAACCCCCTAGGACTGACCCCCGTGGTTTCCCCGCTCATCATAGGGCCCTTTTAACACCTCACATACCATTACCCTTTTTGGGCCCTTTCCGTTTAGGTATTCCCCCGAGGGACCTTTCAGGGTTCCCCCTTTTGTTATACCCGCCGGGTTCCCCTCTAGCTTTTTAACTAATTTTTTCCATGGTTTTGGCCCTATGTCGTGATACGGCCGTAGTAAAAAAGCTGGGCCCGTCTCTTTTCCCTTAAAAAAATTTTGGGCTACGTTTGCTGTCTTTAAAACCTGGGTAATTGCCTTATTCATGGATGTGTTTAAGATTGCGTTCGTGACAACAGGGGCGCCCTTTTTGCTTCCCCTCATTAAAACCCCGGAAAGATTAAGGTCTAACCGGGGGTTTTTAGGTATCTAGTTCACTTAGCCGTCCCAATTTACCCCCTCTTTTTGGCTGTGTGTATTGTGTCCCCGCACCCTTTTTTGGGGTAAACCCCTTTCCCCGGGGTTTCTGGAACCCTTTCTGATTTTCCCCTGAAAAAAATTTCCCCTTTAATCTCATAATGAGCTCTTTCCCCTACTTTCGTTTTTACAAAAGTGACCCCCCCCCTTTCTTCCCAGCCTGATTACCCCGGCCTTTTGGGCTGTTGTTTTTCTTCCCTTTTGGGAGCTTGCAACAGGTTAGGTTAATTTGGCTTTTCCATGCTATGGGCCCCTTTTTTGTTTTTTTTTTCTTTTTTGTCCCCTTCGATTAAAACCCATTTTTTTCCTGGGTTTCCCCCGCTTCTATGGGGTTTTTAAATTTTTAGTGCACTTGTTTTGGGGCCCCTCTATAAAAATTTAGTTGAATGAAGGGCCTTTTGGTTTTTTTTCCCCCTTAAAATTTTGTTGCAAATGGGTTTTGAATCTCCTTCTCTAACCCCTCCTTGCATTTTTTTTGTTTACATAATTTAATCATTTTCCCTTTACTGATTTTGGGCCCAAAAGGGCCCCTTTCCCCACGAACCTCATGGGAGGGAAAATTTTTTATGCCTGTGTAGTCTCTTCCCTTTTTATTTGGGGGGGGGCAAAACAGTTATTTTTTTTGATGTGCGCCTCGGAGATGTTCCTTTGGGGTTTTTACCACCCCAAGAACTTTTTCTTTAAAGGGAAATTTGTAGTCTCTGGCCTCCCATACTGTACTCCCCTCCGGGTCTTCTTTGGGCCTTTTTTTTCCCCCTTTTTCAATTAAATTTTTTCATTGGTGGGGTTTTAACTCCCGAGGGCTGCAGTTTTTCCGATCCCCCTTTTGTTTTTGCCTGGGTTTTTGTCCGAATGAATTCTTTTTTCATTCCCAAATTTTCATTATCTGCAAATAGGGAAACTTTTGGAGTTTGTTCCTTCCTTCCCTATCATTCCAAAAATACCCGAAAAAAAGCACTGGTCCCAGGGCTGAACCCCCGTGGGAACCCCCCCTCGCCCACTGGTGCCCCACTTTTGACAAAACCTCGCCCCGACCTTTACCCCCGCTGCTGTCTTTCCCAACAAAATAAAATTTTCCCGATTTCCTTGTAAATGCCTTTCCG